TTTCTGGTGTTTTCCATTTAATATTTTTCTGGTACATCTGAACATAAGATTAATTGGGGGTAAATATGCAGGGCGCTGAACTCCCCTCTTCATTTCAGTTCAGTTATTGGAATAGGCAAAATAACATTTGGTCCTTTTCAGGTTCAAACTTCCTGAGTAAAAATCCTCGGGATTAAGTCGCTTAATATGAAGTTCGCACTTTTATATTCAAAAGGATGCCACAGATAAACAATCTCTATGACAATGGACTGAATCAAGTCTAACAAAATTCAAGCAAGAGCTGAGAGATCATACCTTGTCATAAGAAAATGCATTTTCTCGCAGAATATGTCTAGCAATTATGGGATCTGATACAACAACAAATGCTTTTGGTCCAAAGGCAAGTTTATACACTCCACCATGCTGTGCCAGGTTCAGAATAATATCCTCAGATGATAATTAAAATATGTTTGAATGAATAAAGTAAACTATGATGGATAGAGTACACAAAACAATTTGAGGAATTTTATGACCAAACAATATATTATCATGTATAACTATAAGTATACGGGCGTTGAAGTAAAAACACCAACACTTAAAGGCGAAAAATTAAAGTAAAATACATATAAAGATGAAAACAAAAAAGGATAAGCCAAAATGCAGAAAAAAAAAATCATATATACAACTTATGTAAAATTAGGACATAAAAAATTCATGATTGATAAAGAAGTAAGTACCTCCAAGAACCAATCATATAGTGAGAAAAAGAGAGGTCGACCAAACAGATCTGATACTGCCCCTTCAGCTATGGGCATAGACCCTATTCTTCCACCACTTAACAAGTCCGTGAGGAGGTTACTTGCATTGTCCAGAAGATTTCTATTTGATTTCTTCTTATCGGTATTAATCGATTGGCATCTACATTGAACACAAATATGACTTAGACATAGATTAACATATGATATGCTCCTTCCAAGCTCTGAGCATAAAATTAATACTAATAAAAAAATTAAACAAATTAAAGCATTAGAAATTTATGTAGTTCCTGAAACAGTTTAAACTTCCAAGTACAACCACACATGCTGGTGTCACATTCATTGTTTACTTGAACAATAGGAATCCGAAACACCCATTGACAGCTTACAGAAAGCGAAATCAATACTTCAGCAAGGATAAGAGGATATCTACATAAGAGAAAACCTCTCAGTTTCATTTTACTTGAAAATTAGGTAAACATGTGATCAGTTCACGTTGGCTAGTAAGCAATTCAGTTGATTAAATTATCCATGGTCTTGACTTGAATGAAACTAATTAACTAGTATAATTATACAGGTTTTCATTTTGCAGGAAAAGGTGGTGAAATCGTGCGTGCGTGCATGCATGAATGAGCCATTGGACATGAAAAGTGAGTGAAGAAACAGGAATGGAGTACGATTTGTGGTTGCAGAGAAAACCTGATTGAAGAAAATTGTTGGGAGTGAGAAGTGCGAATATGGAGAGAAGGAGGGAAGCGAGAGAGTGGATTAAAACGAGAATGAAATTTGGCGTCGATGACAGTAGAGAGTGCTGGGGTGGTGGCGCTCATGGCGGAGCGTTGTAAGAGGTGAGTTCGGTCTGAATTGAGCTGAAAATGGCGTAGGCAATTTCGTACACGTGGACTCTCCAATGAAAACAACACCAATACAGGAATAAAAAAACTCAATGCATGTTAATATTAAAAAAATACGGTGCGTATTGGTTTTCAAACTTATCTTTATACATTCAAATTAATAAACTTAATTTTTCAATCATGAAAATACATAATTTTAATATTTTCTATATTTAAATTTAACAACTAATAACATTTTTATAATAAAAAAATCATAAAATTTAAATTTTTATATTTAAAATTTATTTTTTAATAACAAATTTTATTATTATAAATTCATAAAAAAAACTAACTTCACATTTATTTAAAATTACATAAATAAATAATTATTTTTAAATATAAGAATTAAAATAAAATTTAATAAAAAATACAAAAAAAAATATTTTACTTATTTATAAAATTATATTTAATTTTAAATATTTTTTTATATTAAATTACAATGATAAAAATGATAAAAAATAAGTAATTACTGATGACTGATATATACATGATCTGATTTTTAAGGAAGATCAGACCTATTAATTAGTAATAATAATAATATTAATTATTTATTTATGTAGAGTTTTAATAGTAATTTTAACAATGAATTATAACATTCACCATTATTAAAAATATAATAAATGTTCCATCTATTTTTTTAATGTTATTAGGGTTATTTTTTTACAAAGATCAATAAATACAATAATTTTTCTTTATATTTTTTTATCAAGAATTTATAAGATTTTTTATTTTATTCTTTTCATTTCTTCATCATAATAATAAATGTATACATACATAAAAATTATTTAAAAAATAAGTGTAGAGTAAAAATATTAATAAAAAATGAATGAGATAAGGAAGTGGAGCATTACGGTCAATTTGCTTTCCCAAATAATTTTTTATTATCAAATTACACTTTTCAATAATTTAAAACTAATAGACAAAATTAGTCCTGCGCATTATTTTTACACTATGTTTTAAGATCAGAAATCATTACTTATCACAAATTTCTCGTTTTTTCAATAGTTTTATCTTAAAAGTTATATCCACAACTTTTTTTTCAAGTTTAGTGCATAATAATCGTTGTTTTAAAACTTATTTTGGTTGAATGTTTCCGATTTAATGACACTTTTTTGGAAACATGGTTCTGAGCACAAGTTATTGATTGATACATACTACTGTTGAAGTTAGTCTGCACAATCAAGACAAAAATCATTTAACTTCACAATTAATTTTTGCAGTGATTATTAATAAAATCATTTAATTTCACAAATCTCAATTCAAACTTAATTATTATCTAAAATATCGCTACTTGTGAATAAAAATAAGTTTTCCAAATTTGTAATAACAGTTAAATAAATGGTAATGATATCATTAAATAAAAATTAATTAATTTTGTCTGTATTTAAATCCATTACGTTTTTTTTTGTTATATTTAAATCCAAAGAATATATAAAAAATAACATGTATATAAATATATACAAATATATATATATATATATATATATATATATATATATATATAAGAAAAAATTACTATTAATTGTTTTTTAATAATTTAAAATAATAATATATTTTAATTATTAGTTTATAAAAATAAACATAACAATAATAAATTTATAACTTTTATTTTTTATCCTTATATATATATATATTAATTTAATTTAATTAGAAAATAACTAATTTGATCTATAATCTAATATATTGACTTAGGACCGAATTCAAAATAGAAACATTGAGTTTAATAGTCATACGTAGATGGTTTATTAGATGATAATTTAAATATATTGATTGTTTTAATTAGGTTAGCTACCTAAGAAATCTCGGTAATGACTGTAAATATTATGTTTAGGAAATAATAAGATTGTATAATTTAATTAGTCTTAAATACAGTTTATGTACATCTTGATTCTTTGTAATTGTTTTAACCCTTTTTTTCTAACATGGTTAAAAATAATAATCACACTATCAACTAATAAAAATCACTGTTAGTATAATATTTTTTTTATATTCTTATTATAAAACACATGTTTATTGTTATCAATCAATAAAATATACATTAAACTAGTGTGTTAATTTATATATATATATATATATATATATATATATATATATATATTATCAAACAATTATTATACAATCTAATTTAATAATATAATAAATATAAAAATTTAAACTTGTATTATTATTATTATTATTATTATTATTATAAAAATAATATAAATTAATGGACAATGTAAACTTTTCACACTAATAATGCATACATATTAAGCTCTTTTCAATGAATCAAGTTAACGTAGAATTAAAATTTTATTTGATTTTTAATTAAAAATAATATTACGATTATAACAATTATATTTTAAATATAATGAGATTTGTTACAACTCATACTATAATAGGACTTAATTTGAATCTAAATATATGCTCATAATAATAGTAATTAACATAATTTACCTTAAAATTAAAAAAAAAAAGCAAATTATTATAATATAAAATAAAAAGTTTGTTCACTTGAATCTAAAAACATTGAACTTTACAAAATTATACAATCTTAATAGGCTATAATCTCACTCCTTTAAATTCAATAAAAGAAAAATAAAATAAAATAACAAGACATTAATTTAAAATAGGATGATGATTGTTTGACGCTGAGACAACTAATTGACAATCAAAGTTTTATTTTGGGTGGTTAATTATTGTAAAAAAAATATATTTTTAGAGTGGTGATATTTTGACAATAAAAAACCATACATTCTTTTAAACAACTCACTTTTATAAATATAATAATCTATAGAATGATTTAATAAAAATAAAGTAAAATTACTTTTATAAATATAATAATCTATAGAATGATTTAATAAAAATAAAGTAAAATTATTATTATAATATTAAAAGAGAGTTATTTATAAGAGTTGAATATATTTGAGATGTTAAAATATCAATTTCCATATTTTTATTCAAAATATTCATAAAATAAAGTAACAGTTAATTGTTAATAGAGAAAAATAAAGAAGCAATTAGCTAGGAACTACTTACCTTGAAGTTGGGAAAATGCAGGTTATGATATGATTAGAATTTGGAGATGGTAGTAGAAATGATAGTTAACTAGAGTTAATGAAATAATTAGGTATTAGGTTTAGGAAATAAGAGAAGAGTGGAAAATGACCGAAAATAGATTTGAGGGTAGTTTTGTTTAGATGATGCGGTTGAAGATAAAAGAGTAATTGGTGGGAGTGGCCGTTAAGTCCTATTTATGATCCTAATCTATTTAAGCCCTCAGTTTTTTACTCTTTCTTTTCGCCACGCAAATTGGTTTTCTTTCTTTCTTTCATTGTTTCTGAAATTTTATTCAGCTCTGGCTTCCATCAACCGATATTCAATCATCGATGAGCCGATGAAACTGAAACATGAAGAATCATCGTCATTCATCAAATTCCATATGTCAAGGCATCAATGCAATACCAGCATTTTTGGCCTCTCTTTCTCTTTCATTTTCTCCTTATGGTGCCTCCTCTTCTTCTACATCAAGCTTCGTCTCGTTCATGGCACTGGAGGTAAAAGCTCCACGTCCCTTTTTTCATTTTTACATGCAACCATCTTATTTTATTTTTGTACGTTGCATGCCCCTGCACATATTTGATGAAACAATAAATACGTTACAAAATCCATAATATTAATAACAACACCACTTATTCTTCTTATTAGCATATGTTTTCTGTTGAAATTTCGTTCATGGTCTTTTTGTTGTTATTATTATTATTATTATTGTTATTATTATTATTATTATTATTATTATATATTATTTTGCTATTATCTGAAATGATGATGATCACGCATGCATATTCATATATGTCGCTCGCTTATCCTTGCATGTTTTCACGAATGCAGCTATGTTAGAGTTCAATGAACCAGGTAGCTCCAACGCCATTCAGAAACTTGCAAAACCCTTGTACTCTCTTCCTGAAACGACTAGTATAGAACAAGTGTTTTGGCACGTTTTAGGAAATGGTAGTAATTTGGTGTGCAAACTACATCCTCCACAAGACGAAAATAAACTGCAACAAATTCCTGATGGGAAACTTCACGCCAATTATGATGAATTTCAAAATATGGGAGAAGCACAAGAAAAAACAAAGGGCATGGACTCTGCGCTTGTTAACATAACTCACAGGCTAGAATCTGATGGCTCTGTGTACAACTATGCCTCTGAGTCCAAAGGTGCAAAGGTGGTGGCCCATAATAAGGAGGCCAAAGGTGCAACAAATATACTCGGGAAGGATCATGACAAGTACCTGAGAAACCCTTGTTCTGTTGAAGGAAAGTTTGTTGTTATTGAGCTTTCAGAAGAGACCCTGGTTGATTCTGTGAAGATTGCAAACTTTGAGCATTATTCTTCTAACTTCAAGGAGTTTGATTTGGCGGGAAGTTTGAGCTATCCAACTGAAGAATGGAGCATGCTGGGACACTTTATTGCTGCCAATGTCAAGCATGCACAGCTATTTAAGCTGCCAGAGCCCAATTGGGTAAGGTATTTAAAGTTGACCTTGCTTAGTCATTATGGATCTGAGTTTTACTGCACACTTAGTGTTGTAGAAGTTTACGGGATCAATGCAATAGAGCGGATGCTTAAGGATCTAATTGTGGCTTCTGTGGGATCCATTCCTGATAAGCCACCCGTGGATAATATCAGTGACATCCCGTCTTTGAAATCAGAAGACGGTCACATTCATAAAAATGGAAAAAAAGTTGATAATAAGAATGATACTGTGGCTGCTCAGATATCAAGCAATGATACCAGTCGAGAGAATGATGCAGAAGCGGTCAAAACAACAATGACCGCGAACTTGATTCCAGATCCTGTGTTAGAACTTAGACAACAGCTAAATGGTAGGGTAGCTGGTGACACTGTACTGAAGATTTTGATGAAGAAAGTGAGGTCAGTGGAGGTAAACTTATCAGCCCTTGAGGATTACCTCAAAGAATTGAACAGGAGACAAGGATCTAAAATACCGGATCTTGAGAAAGAGTTGTCCAAACTATCAGAAAGTCTTGAACAAAGCAAGTCAGAGATTAAAGATCTCTGGCAGTGGAACACAAATATGGTTGGTAATCCGTGACCCAGTGCCTGTTCCTTTCCTCTTTTAGTTTCTCATCGTATTTCTCTTTCAATTTCCAGGAAAAAGGAATATCTGAGATTGAGTCTTGGAAAGATGCTGTCTCATCTCAGCTTAATGAATTAGCCAGAGAAAACAGCATGCTAAGGTTAGTGTAGTAGATCATTTTGATAACTTTCATTAAAATCTATCTATCCCGTTATTGGTTTTTCAAATTCATATTTATCTTAGAGTATCCTCCGATGGGAGATTCTTTTGTGATTCTTAAGAACCAAATCTTATGTAGGTTTTATCCTGGAGCAAGTGACATAACAGTTATTTGCTTATATAAGTAAAGGTCCTTAAGAATTGTGACACAATAGTAGAACCTAGCAAATTTGTTTAAGTTCTTAAATCTCGGTGACATTGTAGGGCCTAGCAAAAATGAGTTAAGCAATTCCATCATGTTTGCACCATTGAAGATGCTCTTTTATATAACAAATTTGAAATCATCTCATGTTAGTCATTTCCATCACTGCTTGCTCATTTTGTTGCTGCTAAGATGGCAGGGATTAACACTTGTTTTACAGCATTATGTAGTAGAAGATTGCTTTTTCATTACCATTGCTTGCTTCAGAGACTTCTCTCTCTCTTCCTATATATACTTTTTCTGTCGTATGGTGATTGACATCTCATTCAATTACTTCCATTTCAGATCAGATGTTCGAAAGATTGCATGTAATCAAGCAAATATGGAAGCCAAAGAACTTGCCGTGTTAGCAACGAGTCTTGTTTTTGTGTGCCTTGCAGTTCTCAAGATAGTTTCGGTACACATGTTGAGGTTTTCTGCATCATATAATGCAAATAAAGTGCGCCAGACAATTAGAGGATGGGTTACATTATTTGTATGCTGTAGTCTAACAATATTCATCATCTTATTTAATAGCTAGGCATTCACTTGCGTTGTAGAGACTTGGATCATTGTAGAAACTTGTTCTGTAGTTACTGTTAAAAGTTGTCATGTAGTAAACCGTTTCTTGTTACTGTAAATGCAACATACAAAAGAAGTGATTCCAGATGCTAGCTTCACTTCCATAGGTTGCAACTATGCAGTTAGATGCTGATGATAAACTCTTTTTTTCAGTACCTATTAGGCCATTACTTGTTGGTACAGTTGAAAAGATTTTATGCATGGCTAAGTTTTTGTCAGATATCCATTGTAAGATTACAACTTTATATCTTTATGTATATGCCCAGTTCTCTGCAGCAACAGGTGCAAAATCTACCTACTTATAACTAGATTCATTGAGTATCAAATACTTATGTACAAAAAGGAGTAAACAAACGTCAGAATATCATTTTGTCATCTTAATAACCATGTCTTCCAAGTTCTTAGGATAGCACATTTTTGTGTGCCGGCCATTCCATATATTGTCTGCCAGAATGGCATTCACTGAATCAGTTGGATGAAACTGATCCCACCAGATATGGTTGGAGGAGTTACTGCACGCCATTTCCGATGATAAGCACATGATCCAGCCCTTGTACTTCCCCATTCCACAGCATGCCTCGGTTGTGAAGTTAAAGCCTAATTAGGGAACATACAGGAGAGTACTATGTGATGTTAAATGCTACAGAAATTCATAAAAGACTGAGAGATATAAAAACAAACACATGTACCATAACGTTCGTGATTCTTTAAAATATCCATGGAACCTGCAAACACGTCACAGAAGATGATATTGGCATCAGGGAGCTCCGCAGCAAGATTTTCAACCATGTACCTCGTGAGGAAGTTAAACTCAACGGCCATGTCATTTATTTGCTCAACACATTCTCCATTTTCATTACCGTACTGCCACAAGTAGTGAGGCGCACAGCCAATTGGGGCAAGTCCCGTGATCACCACTTTCCTAACATTTAAATTGTACAAGTTCTGTGTCATCGAGGATAACATATCAGGTAGGATTCAATTTCAGTTACTGTATGGAAAAGACTCAAAAAAATTTTAGAAAAATTTATTAAAATTACATGAAATTTTGAATGGCTTGTGCAGAAGAAATAAGTGTTAGGTTAATCACGCAAACCGTATACAAAACGTTACTGTGGCGGAAGCTAATCTAAAAAAGATAGAATTTCTTTTTATTGAGAACAATTTTCTTAACCGAACTTGTCCAAGTAAAACTGGGTATGCACAATACATGTAAAACAGAAATGAAATGAAAAAATTGGTCACGTATCCCAACCTTATTGATTTTCTCCAATTACAAAGGATAACATCTTAACATAGCAGTTCTAAACAAACTCAACTCATTTTTTTTTTAATTTAAATGTGATTGTTGAGTCGGTGACCATGCACAAGTAGACTTAGTGTCAAATATGTTTCACTAAAGAGGTCCTGCATGTTTGACACGCGAACATGACACCAAAACAATGCATTCGTACTTATAAAACGTATTAATGGATGAATAGCATAACTTTTTTATAAAGTATAATGATTGAGAAATGAAATCTAAGCACTGTTTTACCTTTATCTCTTGCACGAGTGAAGATGCCAAAAAGTGGTTGAAATGCCAAGGTAGGTACAGATTATCGACGTTGGATACATTCAGCAAATAGTAATGAATGTAGTCGTTGATTCCGATTGAAATATAAAAGACAGAATTGGATATGAGATTGGTTGCAGCATCCTCGCCCATGCTCAAAATGAACTGCTGAAGAGTGTCTGCAAATTGCTGAATTTGCTGAGTGAGGGACATATGCTGACCCTGCACCAATTATAGCATTTGAACTTATAACATGTTCTGAATTGCATGATCATAATTAACAGGAAAGAACATTAATGGGAGAAAATTGAACGAAACAAACCAATTCAGAGCCACTAGAGAGAATAATGCCAGCGCCAGCAGAAGCGTAATTTACGCCATGAATCATATCATCCACAGCCCCTGTCTGTCCCAGATAACTTGGCACAAAGGGAAGCCCTAGACGCAGAGCTGATGCGAAAATTATTATAAATAAATCAATCTAATACCATTTACTTTTACACCAAGAGTAACATTTACTTTAGTTCAAGGAAAAAGAGTCAAAGATATGAATTTGAAGTTCATGAAAAGTGACAAGAAAGGGAAAAAAACACATGCATTAAATAGAGGGGTTGTAGTGATAAAGACAAGATCTTTATTCACCAAGATAATCAACAGGGATCCTTCCGTTGGAGAATCTTCCGGTGGGTTGGTGGGTGTCGAAATCTCTTCCGTAAGGAAGATGATCGGCGCGTGCGAAGGTTCCAAGAAAATTGTTGGTTCCGCAATCAACGGAGGAGTCTCCGATGACGAACAACGCGGGCACCAGAGGATGAGAAGGGAAAGAAGAATAAGGGGGTGCAGTTGAGGGACCAACTCCGATTAGTTGTTGGGAAAGATGATCTTGGAATTGGAAAAGTGCTCTTGATTCTACAAAGGTGGAAAATAGTATCACAGTAGATACTAAAAAGTACAGTATTAGATTCATACTCATTATCTTTCTCTTTCCTTCTTCCACTTCCCATGCAGAGATTGAAATTCAGGTATTCAACCTCTCATAAATGTTCACTTCTTTTGGCGGGTAACCATAACATGTCAATCCCAAATGTCCAATATGCCCCTGTATAAATTATAAGTCTCAGGCCCACAAGGTAGCCCGCTCCAATAATCAACCAGGCCTAGAAAACTTCTTCGGCCCATAAGCACTGGAATAACTTCTTGACTGCGATGGGAGTCTACCTTATCCGGTGTCTACTAAAAGCTCCATGAGCAAAAACGAAAAAAAAAAATGGACCAATTTTACCGACCGTGGCATAAAAATAAAATAGAATAAATTTTTGTATTATTTAATTGATAAACAAACGTGGGGTATCGTAAAAAGGTGAGGGTACTATGAAAAACCAGTATCTACTTGACACGTGTGCAACGGTCCACCGGCCTAACGGTCATTGAAGATACCCTCTCCAAACTAAAGCAAGCACGATAGCATAAGGGCGGTGCTACCCTTCCCTAAATAGAATCCTAATAATAATAATAATAATTCAGATGTCATGTCCTTTTGCGGTGGTGTTGGGTACACGCATAGCGTAAGAAAAACCACATTTTTTAAATCAATGTTCAAAACACAACCGTGTTTAGGTAATGAGAGTGTCGTTGGTTCATTTCAAAACGTTGAGGATTGACACATGTAACATGGGGGCATACTACTGGTGGGACCAAGGCCACATGAGTTGCAATAATCGATTCTGGAAAGTATAATTAAATAAATATTTATTTATTTCTGTTACTAAATTACGTTATTAGCGGACCTTAAACGACATCATCAATGATTTGCAGTTGTTCGATGAAAAAATATTTTAAAAATTATTGATTTAAATTTACATATTATAACTTGTTTATGTTTTATATATTTTGAATATTAAAAACTGTTACTTTTAATTTTAATATTATTAAATTATAAAATTCAGAGTAAGTATTTTGATCAATTTTCAAAAGACAGTTACTTTGATTATAAGCTACAAAAATTTAGCTTTCGATTTATTTTTTTATAATGTAAGTCGTGACTTGCTTGGGGCAGCTTCGAACACGAGCAATTATCAAGTTACGTTAAGACGTGATGTCTTTGTTTACTCGTTATCCTTAGATTGGGAGAAAAAGGAAAGAAAACGCTGCTGTTATTGTTTACTCATGTAATTTAATTGGTATTTAGCAATTATTGTTGTTAGTTGTGTTACAAATAGACTTTGCATTATCTAAAAATGTTCCTGCTATAGGGGGTTGGTTAGGTTAAAAATTTATAAAAAGGCAACGGTTACAGACCGTTCTCGCTCTCTCTCTCTCTCTCTCTAACTCTGTTGTTGGGAAGTGACATGTTTACGGGAGCAGATAACGCAGGCGAAAAGAACGCCTCTGTCTGGAATTAGTAAAATCAATGGCCATACTTTCCATTTAAGCACTCACCCCTCTAACATTTCTCCTTGATTCTTTCCCTTGGTAAGAATCCACTCTCGATCGCTACCATTCATAATTCAAGCTTCTTCGAGATTCGTTCACTGCCCATCACCCTAATTTGTTCATACATTTTATACGACATATAGCACGACAATTTCTTCCGTGGGCATGACAATTTTTCGGTAATTTTTTTGTTTTTTTATTTTTTTTATTTGGGTCTTTTCGATCACTTTGATTGAAAGACCTTTTTTTTTTCTTCTTCTTCTTCATCGTTGTAGATGAGTTCCTTCCGTCAAATATAACAACTCAAGCGTTAAGGACTTGAGTTTAGGGTAAAAAAGAAAGAAAGAAAATTGTTCAACCTGAAAGATGTCGTCTGCTGATGTCGCTCTGAGACCGGTTCTTAAAGAATCGGTGCATTGGCAAGGGCGTTGCTCTGGCGAATCTATCCTAATATATTTGACCGTAGATGGTGCTGTGACGCCAATGCGTGTGTCGGAGTCTGATTCGATTGCTTCGGTGAAAATGAGGATTCAAACATGCAAAGGAATTGCAGGGAAGAAGCACAAGCTGGTGTATGGTGGCAGAGAGCTTGCCCGCAAGGATGCACTCGTTAAGGACTATGGTGTCACTGCTAGCAATGTTCTTCACTTGGTTCTTCGTCTCTCTGACATGATCTTCATTGTTGTAAGGACCACCGCTGGTAAGGAGTTTGAGTTTCAGATTGATCGACATAGAAATGTTGGTTATCTTAAGCAACGGATTAAGAAGAAGGGGAAAGGTTTCATTGATCTTGAGGATGGTCAAGAGCTTTTCTGTGACGGGGAAGAGCTCAAAGACCAGAGCCTCTTCCGTGACTTTTGCAAGGCTGATGATGGTGTGATCCATTTGGTAGTTAAAAAATCAGCTAAGGTTGATGCCAAGCCGGTTCACAAAGATTTGGAGCTTTCGGTTGTTGCCGATGCCTCTGGTGTGGGAGGGAATCAGGTGACGACAAAGATACCACCTAGTGTAGATTTCTGGTTGGAACCAGTTTTTGTGAATCCTAATGTCAATTTTTTTCCTTTCCTCTGGGACATGATTGGCTCCACATTCGATGGTTTGAAACAAGGAAACCACCCTATCAGGTCCACCGAGGGCACAGGTGGGACTTACTTCATGCAAGATTCGGCAGGTATGCAGTATGTTTCGGTTTTCAAGCCCATGGATGAGGAGCCAAATGCGGTTAATAACCCGCAAGGCCTACCGGTTTCATCCAATGGTGAAGGTTTGAAAAGAGGGACTAGGGTTGGAGAAGGAGCTGTGAGAGAAGTTGCAGCATATATATTGGATCATCCAAGGAGTGGGCCAAGATTGGTGTCAGGTGAAGCAATGGGCTTTGCCGGGGTTCCCCCAACTGTTATGGTCCAGTGCTTACACCAAGCCTTCAACCACCCAGATGGGTTTGAGTGCTCCCCAAAGCATTCCAAGGTGGGGTCACTGCATATGTTTATGAAGAATGATGGTAACTGTGAGGACTTAGGGCCAGGGGCTTTTTCTGTGGAGGAGGTGCATAAGATCACTGTGCTTGATTTAAGAATGGCCAATGCAGATAGGCATGCTGGGAATATATTGTTCAGAAAAGATGCAGATGGCCGCACTTCGCTCATTCCCATTGATCATGGCTACTGTCTACCAGAGAAAGTAAGCCTTCTTCATCTTTTCTTCACAATTCCATTTCTCCTCCTGCATTACCCTGTCCTTCTTGCGTATATGCTTTTGTGTTTGGCTTCTATAGAGTTAAAGGGGGATGTAAGAAAAACTGTGTCAAGTATTTTGTTTCATATATTTTTGACAATCTTTATAAATCATGTTGCAACACGATCTTCTTGATAGAAAAAGTTAAGATCCTGTTTTATTTTATTGTGAAACATGTGAACTGAAACCAATCTTTATTGTCTGTGCAGTTTGAGGATTGCACATTTGATTGGCTATACTGGCCCCAAGCACGTCAACCTTACTCTCGTGACACAGTAGCTTATATAAAGTCTCTGGATGCTGAAAGAGATATAGAGCTTCTGAAATATTATGGGTGGGATGTTCCGGTTGAGTGTGCGCGAACACTCCGCATCTCCACAATGTTATTGAAGAAAGGGGTTGACAGAGGTCTCACTCCCTATGCCATTGGAAGTATTATGTGTAGGGAAAATTTGAACAAGGAATCTGTAATCGAGGAGATTATTAGAGAAGCCCAGGAATCATTGGTACCTGGCACGGGGGAATCTGTGTTTCTTGAATCTGTCTCCCAGATCATGGATTCCCACCTTCACAATCTTGCAAGATAGACTCTCTCGGATTCATAGTTATATAATGTAATAACAATAAATATATTTGCATTTATTGAGTGAGAATACTATGTACGTATGTATGAATGTTTGGATGAACTGCAGTTTGTCTGTGGGTGGCTGAAGGGTGTTCAGGACATTTAAGTCTGAAGCTCTTCCTCATCTCTCATTCATACAATTCTCTTAACCTTTTTTCACAATTGTATTGACATGTTGGGCAGAAGTTAAAGGGTCTGAATAAGATGTATTCGACTGAGATTTTATATATTCTAGGTTCGTGCGAGAGTTGACAGGAGTTGGATTACTTGTGTACATAATTGTAACAAGTTTAGCATATTTTACTTCAAAAATATGCATGCTTTTTGTCGTATTTTACTTAATCCAATCATCCTCACATTCTGTTGTGGCCTTTGTTTTAACGTTCCTAAAATTGTGATCCTAGAAAACACTTGTCATTTCGGCTAAACATCAAAGAAACTTCTTGATAAAGTGGTTAAGTATAATTGAATTACATTAAGCTTATTTAAAATATCTAAATAATTTTTTTATAAAATTTGAATTGAATTATTTTATACTTGATTTTTAAGACCGAACAATTAATAAATTGAACTTCTAAAACTGAATTATATTTATGAGATTTAAAAAATAAATAAAAATATGATACACAAACAGAGATATTTAAAACTACGTTTGATAGAAATAAAACAAAAATATATTTAATCACAGTGGGAGGCTCAAATAATTGTAATATTTAACTAAGCTCTATTTCTTTTCTATAATAAAAACCAATATAAGTTATATATTTATTAAATACATAACATAACATGCTAGATTATATATGGTCTTAATATATGATCTTCTAAAGTTACTTTTAAAATACTATTCTGTTTAATCACTTTTAGTTTTGAAAGTTTTGATTTAGATTATTTAAAAAAATGTGCGAAGGCCATTTTTACTGAAACTACAATTAATAATTTTTACCCATAATACTAACAATAGTTCATCAAGATTAAAAAAATAGAGTAAATACTCTAAAAATAACCACCTTCTCCGGGCCTCTCAAAATCAAGTGGACACAAAATTCTGGAACCACTCTAACAAATTCCCAAAATCAAATAAATTAACCACCCTAAGATCTAAATTGGTCACTCCATTTATATAAGTCAAATGGACCGATCCAATATACTAGATTCGAATCAAATAATCAACAATAACCATTCACACTCATGCTTACAAGATACAATCGAAAGAAGGTGAAATTTTTACCTCACTTGTTAATTCATGTCTGGTTAAAAGCTGCGAGATGGCGTTTGCTAATTGATCTTCACGACCAGGTCTCAATCAACCTCACCTCACGCCAAAAAAGAAAACCATTATTTACAAGAGAGTAGCTAACAAAAAACCAAATCATAGGAGGGACCCAAACCTCACCCAAGGTCTCCTCGGTAAAATTAAGATTTCTCACTCTAGCTTATGAACTATAATTTCTAAAGATTAATGTAAATTTTTGTACCCATCACTCACCAGTCTCTCTTTTGTTTTTATTCTTTTCAGTGTCAAATATAAGATTTCACCTTCTTAATGAAAGGAAACATAATTATATTAGAGTGAGTATAACTGATAAATCAAAGATGAGTAGAACTTTTGGACCTCTTTGATTTTCATGTTTGAGGTTGAAAAGTTGAATCTTCAGAGTTGGTGTAGAAGGTAACTCTTCATTGACCTCCAACTTTCTCAAAAGGGCGATTCCTTTCCCTCATATTTCACCAATAACTGAAATTATCATATTTGTATCAACATGTGTTCAAAAAATTCAATATGAAGAAATTATCTCCTACCATCTGAGATCATGTAATAAATAAACTACATCAAACCATAATTAAAAACCCTATGTCCAGTGTATATACTAATTATTGAGAAAGTTAATAGATACTTTGTCCTATATTCAAACACTAGTCAGTCATAAATTAAAGAAAATAAAGGGTTCACTGCAAGACAAAAAAAATCCCAGTAAAAAGAACTGGATTGAACGCAAAAAAACAAATATTCAAATAATCACCATGACCTATGGCCCTACCCACCTCTTCACACGCTGCAAATTTCTATACACACTCCATGTGCTCGTGAGTTTTGTTTTGCTTTGGCGCATACATCATCTTCACCACATCACATTCCCATTCACATTCACAACGCAACACATCACATAGTTAGTTCCTCTCCAACTCCAACACCAACACCGAGCCATGGCGAAGCCCGAGAACCGTACGAACCTGGCGTCCTGTTTCGTGGCCACCATTTTCCTGATCTTCCTCCTCATCGTGGTCTTAATAGTTTACTTCACGCTGTTCAAGCCCCAGGACCCCAAAATCGCCGTCAGCTCTGTCCAGATCCCTTCCTTCTCAGCCACTAACGGCACCGTCGACTTCACCTTCTCCCAGTACGCCTCCGTCCGCAACCCTAACCGAGGCACCTTCTCCCACTACGACAGCTCGCTCCAGCTGCTCTACCACGGCACACAGGTCGGCTTCATGTTCGTCCCAGCCGGCGAGATCGCCGCCGGCAGGACTCAGTACATGGTCGCCACGTTTACCGTCCAGTCCCTCCCCTTGGGCCCGGGACCCACCTCCGTGAATGGGCCTAGCAGTGTAGGGCCCACGCTGGAGATGGAGTCGAAGATAGAGATGGGTGGGCGCGTGCGGGTGTTGCACCTTTTCAGCCACCACGTGGAGGCCAAAGCTCACTGCAGGGTCGCCATCGCCCTCACCGATGGATCCGTGTTAGGCTTTCATTGTTAATTCCTTCTTTCTTTTTTTCTTTCTTTTTTTCTTTTTTTTTTTCTTTCTCATTTTGTTTCTAACTGTAAACAATTGTAGCAGTAGCTGTTAGGAGCTTAATTCATTATCCAAATATTTGCTTTTAAATTAGTACAATGACCTTAAGTGCCAACTCAAAAATTTATCTTAATTTCTTCTTCTTTTTTAAATAACGATTTAGAATTATAAAAGAAAATCTTTTACAAATTAATTCAATTCGTCTAGTTATTTACAATAACCATTTATAAATAAAATATTATTTTAATATGAAGTAATTTTTTAAATTTTAAACAATTAATGTAAATGAGAATTATATTAACATAATATTTTTATTTATAAATAATAATCGAATGACTCATATATATATATATATATATATATATATATGTATATATATATAAAAATTAAACAGTTAATTCAATGAAAAGAGTTTTGAAAAACTATAATTGATTCACAAATTTATATTTGTTTAATTTAGAGTTATTATGATATTCTAAAATAAATAAATTTTTTATTTTAAAAAAATATTTCTTATATGAAAAACAAAAATACGTCGAATGACTAAGTGAGCAACAGTGTACTAACTATAATTAAAATTTTCGGAAAAATAATAACTTTTTTTCAAGTTAAGGATTAAAAAATAAATAAATATTAGAGATGCTCAAACAATTGATAATTTGGTGATGAATGTACTTGGCACCCTCTTCAATTAAAAGTTTATTGGGTAACATGATGAATTGGTGTAGAAGTTACATATAATATTGTGCTCATACCTAGTGAATATAATTTGAAAAACTCAAACTTAATATCTATTGTGTCTCAAAATTCATCACATTAATTATAGTTACACTACCATAAATAAGATTAGTTTATGGCCTTGTGGATCTAAAAAAGATATTGGAGAAAAAAAAAAGTCATGCACTTGGGGTTTGTCATATTGCTCTTTAATAGAATCGCAATGGTTATATTCTTTGAAGGATTTTGTCGAACGTTGTTATGACCTACGTTTTGTCGCCTAAAAAATAAATAATTTTGGTTTATTCGTTTCATTTAATAACCATGTGATATTATTAAACTTTAATTAGTATTAGTAATTTTATATATTGTTAAAAAAATATTTATTATTATTATTTTAATTATTTACTAATTATTACAGTATTAAAAAATTAGACTATGAAAGTCACATAATCTACGGTAGGAGATTAAACAACTAGAAAATTAAAACAATTGTCAACCTTTTTTGTTTTACTTAACATAATTGATTAGTTAAATATAATTAAAAAAATAAAAAATAAAAACTGTCAACATAATTTTTTTGCATCACACAAATATAATCTGAAATACTGAGACATTAGTTTTTTTTTAGAGATCACGATAAACAATCTTATTCAAATTTCGTAAAATCTCTTATTAAACTAAAATTGCCTCATGTCAATTGATTCATGAACCTATAAATGGAGACACACACACACACACACACACATATATATATATATATATATATATATATATATATATATATATATATATATATATATATATATATATATATATATATATATAATGGATTAGTGTAGTAGAGGCATCATATTTGAGAAACAGATGCTCTAAACAAGCCACAGGAGGAAAGATTTTCCGTGTAGTTGTCATGACTACGTTGCTGACATCACTCAGAACTTGGACCTTGAGAGGAGTTTCACAAGTTAATGTTGTTAATTAAGTTCATCAGGAGGCAAAATAATTCAGATTAATTTCCTTCTAAGCTAGCGTGGGGAAGTGAAGTCCCTTTAGAGCATTGGATTGTTTCCCCTTATGATCTGCATTAGTTTCTGATAGATGAAGATTTCAGCACTCTTTATTTGCACTTAGTTTTTTTCTCTTCTTTCCCCTTGTACCAAAAATAATTATCTCCATCAATATAAAAGTGGTAACTGCTTTAATAACATACACTTCATTTAAAAAATTAGCTTTGCATGAAAACCAACGACAGCATAGCTCAATACACATACACCAATATATTACAACCACCACAAGAATTATGAGGTATTGGTAGAGCTTGGCTTTCACGCTTTCACATAGAAAACCAGAGATAGCATAGTTATATATACATCCACCAATATATCACAAGAATTATTAGTTTTGGTAGAATAGCTTGGATTCCACAATTTAAAAAATTAACTTCACATGGAAAACCAGAGATAGCATAACTCAATATAAATCCACCAAGCAATATATAACAGCAACTACAAGAATGATTAGTATTGGTAGAGCTTGGATTCCAGGCGTAAGTCGGGTTTCCACCATTGGTGAATCCCATGAGATTCTATGAAATCTCGTGAAGGAGTATGATTAACCGTTAGAGATGCAGAAGGAATAAGGTGTAGAGGTTCATCAGATTCCTTTCCCAACGCACCCATCACTAGACAACCAAGGGACGTTTGGGTGGCTAACTTTTCAATGCTTCCTGCACCAATCTCCTCCATTTTTTTTCTGTGCTCAAAGTATCCAATATACTCAGAGCAGATATGGTCAGAGGGATTCACAAATAAGCATGGAATCCAGGCAGACAAAGCAGCAAATGGATCAAAGGACAAACTCTTCTTTTGCTTAGCCTTCATAGCAATGGCAAGTCCAGCTGTTACTACACTGCCAGCAAATCGAAGCCCATGTTTCAATTTCTTATCCTTAATTCTCTCAATTGGAGCAGATAGATATGGAGGGTTGAAGAGAAAAGACTCAATAAATATGCCTGTCTTGGCCATGGTTTTCCCAGCGAGCATGGCCATTGCTGATCCTAGTGAGTGGCCGGCTAACCAGATATTGGAAGCACCAACAGTAGCCACTATGTTTCGAACAGCTTGGATAGCTATCTCAGAGCGTGATGTTTGATGAAGTCCATTTCTCACAAAATGCATATCCAACTCAATGTCACGGTAAACTGAATCTGCTTTGGTTATAGTACCTCGGAAGGCAATTACATAACATGTACTTCTGCGTAAGGTGCACATAGATGTTGGAGGCTTGAACGCATATATTGCTCCAAAAATGGAAGAATCAACATCATCAACAAGCGTATGAAGCAACTGAAAGTGGAAGAACGTCCACCAAGGCAGTGCAAGAGCATTGGGACCTTCTCGCCGTTGTTGTCTGTCCTTCTCTAGAACATAAACACCTTGGACCAAACTAGCAGCAACTGACTTTCGATGATATGCATTATTCCTAGATATAACAGAATCTACTATTAACTACTAACGAAATCCCAACAGCTAAAAAAACACTGATGCAATATTAAGGATTAAAAATCTCATTAATCAAGTCAACTAATACTGCCATGTTGAAGCTTTGTGGCCAAAAGGAAGAATAATCTAACTATATTAGGTCTTTGATAAACTGAGTACTCCGTAAAATCTCTAAAGAAGATATATAGTTCTCAGAAGACATAGTTTATTTGCAAATATTGATGTAAACATGTTATTATGGACACTGAATATAAATCAATCATTTATTCCTGTGATCCGACATTAATCCTCTCATACCTACTAAGTGTACTTGAGATGCATTTTTCTAGCTCCCAAAAAGGATATTATATGGACTGGATTGAAGGGATCGATCATTCTAAGATTAAGATTTATTTCTTGTCGAAAACATTTACCAGTAACATACCATATCTCAATCGATCGACGTAATCTTTCTACAGCATGTATATTCCCATAATGATGTTATTTTTCCAAAATCAAATTTTGCAGTAATGCATAATCAAGGCACACCAGACATAGTGAAGAATAACTACAAGTGCACAACAACAGTGAAGAAATGATATTATGTAAGAACAGAGTGGAAAAACTAAACAGAAGAGGAAGATTTGTTTATAGATCTTACCAGTCAACATAAGTTAAATGTAAGGGTCCAGAGCGGTCAAAATATTCCCTCTCAGAAGCCATTACACCCTACAGTTCAAAAAGAGAAAGAAGTTATTTCAATAGGTAATGAAATCTCCCGAACAAGGGGGAAAAAGAGAAAAAACTTCCACGGTTTCAATTATCAACAAATAACACAAGTCAATAACTGAAAAGCCCTTTCCGCGCATAACCCAAACTTTGGCATGTACTACATAAATAAGCTGCAAAAGAATGAATATTAAAAAAGAAAAAAAAAAAGTGAGATCTGTCCACAACAAATATCCAGAATACAAAGAAAGGTTTTGGCACTCAAACCTCACTCTTGTGAAGCAAATTATCTACTCCTTCTCAATCAATAACCTTTTATACTTAATTCAGTAAACATATAGCAATGCGCATTCAGCATTCGACATTCCACAATTCGATTCGCCGAACAAATATATTTGTGAAAATTGAGACTCGGCTTATATTATATATGTAAAAGGGCTAATTAATAAAACAAAAAATTGAAATGTAGGAATGAAGTTAGAGAAAATTGTGTGAACCTTGAAGAAGAGAAAATCAGGATGAGATTCCACAAAAAGAGATTAAGAATAGTAATAATGAGATTGAAAGAAGATCCCGAGTTAATGTGGAAGTGGTTTACGGGTATTTGGTGGAGGTTGCAATTAGGGAATTACTTAGGTCGCTTTCTGATGCGAAACATGAACCAATTACTGTGCGGAGACTCTTTTAAGCCATTTTTTAATATACATGACAAAAAATAATCATACATATTAAACACAAAATTGCAGTTTATAAATTTCTTCATTTTCCGATAGAAAAAAAATTTATAAAATTATGAAACAGATGTTAATACTGATAAGTTTAGTTAAATTTATGAATTATATTGAACTTGATACAGCAATTTAATCTTCCACTCACTCTTTCTTTCTAATGCTCGTTACTTTATTAGCTAAAATTAGGTAAAAAATAATAATAATCAACAGCGTTATGGTTTTAGTTTATTTTAATTAAAACAAAAGTGTATACGTATTTTAATATGAATTAAATAAACATATATATATATATATATATATATATATATATATATTATAATTTAGAAATAAAAAAATTGACAACAAAAACGTGGGGAGGAATGCGGATTATCAGTATTTATAGAGTAGAGCTTGGATTCCATGCTTTCACATACAAAACCAGAGATAACATAGCTCAAAACACAGCCACCAATATATTACAACAATCACAAGAATTACTAGTATTAGTAGTAGAGCTTGGATTCCACACTTTAAAACATCAACTTCACATAGAAAACCAGAGATAGCATGACTCAAAACAGACCCACCAAGCAATATATTACAACAACTACCAGAATTCTTAGTATTGGTAGAGCTTGGATTCCAGGAGTAAGTCGGGTTTCCACCATTGGTGAATCCGATGAGCTTCTCTGAAATGTCGTGAAGGAGTATGATTAATCGTTAGAGATGCAGAAGGAATGAGGTGAAGAGGTTCATCAGATTCCTTCCCCAACGCACCCATCACTAGACAACCAAGGGAGGTTTGGGTGGCTAACTTCTCAATGCTCCCTGCACCAATATCCCCCATTTTTCTTCTGTGCTCAAAGTATCCAATATACTCAGAGCAGATATAGTCAGATGGATTCACAAATAAGCATGGAACCCAGGCCGACAAAGCAGCAAATGAATCAAAGGACAAACTCTTCTTCTGCTTAGCCTTGAAAACAATGGCAAGTCCTGCTGTTACTATACTGCCAGCAAATCGAACTCTATGTTTCAATTTCACATCCTTAATTCTCTCAGTTTGACCAGATACATATGGAGGATTGAAGAGAAAAGACTGAATAAATACGCCAGTCTTGGCCATGGTTTTCCCAATGAGCATTGCCATTGCTGATCCTAGTGAGTGGCCTGTTAACCAGATATTGGAAGCACCCACAGTAGCCACCATGTTTCGAACAGCTTGGATTGCTATCTCAGAGCGTGATGTCTGATGAAGGCTATTTCGCAGAACGTGGATATCCAACTCAATGTCACGAGAAACTGAGTGTGCCTTGGCCATAGTCCCTCGAAAGGCAATTACATAACGTGGACTTCTGCATAATAAGGTTTCATTGCACATAGATGTTGAAGGCTTGAACTCATAAATTGCACCGAAGATGGAAGAATCAACATCATCAAGTCTACGAAGCAACTGAAAGTGGAAGAACGTCCACCAAGGCACTGCAAGAGCATTGGGACCTTCACGACGTTCTTGCCTGTCCTCCTCTAAAATATAAACACCATGGACCAAACTAGCAGCAACTGATCTTCGATGATGCGCATTATCCCTAGATAGAATGAAATACTGTATTAACTATTCACAAATTCCCAGTTGCCAAAGAAAAAACACTGATGCAATTTTAGGATTCAAAATCTTACTAAACAAGTCAACTAATACTGAAATTGTGAAGATATATGGCCAAAAGGAAGAATAATCTAACTAAATTAGGTCTTTGATGAAGTGAGTACTCTGTTATTCTTCAAAGAAGATGAATAGTTCTCAGAAGAGATTATATTTCCTGGTAGTTTCATGCAATGATATTATTATGGACACTGAATACTTGCTGCAATGCGTAATCAAGGGTACATCAAAAATGATGAAGAATCACTACAGGTGCACAACAACAGTGAAGAAATGATGAGATTATGTAAAAGCAAAATGGGGAAAAAAAAAAGAAGAGAGACAGAGAGAGAGAATTTGTTTACAGACCTTACCAGTCAACATAAGTTAAATGTAAGGGTCCAGTGCGATCAAAACGGTTCTTGTCAGACGCCATTACACCTTGAAGTTGTAAAAGGGAAAGAAGTTAGATCAATAGTCAATGAAGATGAGTGAAAAACTGAGATCTGATTATAACAAATATCCAAAAGACAGGTAAAATTGAAGGATGAAAAATAGAATGTAGTAATAAAAATATGAGACATATATATGAACCTTGAAGAAGTAAGAATTTGAGAAGAGATTGAAAATGCAAATGAAATTGAAATTGAAAGGGGTCCCGACCTGAATAAAATCAAAGTGCGTGACTGGTATTTAATGGAGTTTGCAGCTAATCGGATTCGGAAATTATTGTGGTTGCATAATAACAAAGCTACAAGAGACCTCTCTTTTTGAAGGCACCATCTCTATGATATATTCTTATTCTCTCGAACTTCATCTTATAATTTGTAAATATTCGAAAAAAATGATAAACTTATTAACCATGATAAACCTTATTCCTTAAAGATCAATAAAGAATAGTAGAGAAATATTCGCATGTTATCCCTGCACCTTGCAGAGAAATAACTGGGTTTTGGAGATAATGGATTCTCACCTCACTCCTGCTTAAGTTTCACATTCTTGCTTATGCGGAGTATTATTTATTCAAACATATCTGCTAATATTTTCTACTATTTCATTGTGCGTTTTGTTTTTGTTTGGTACAATATGGAGAGCCAATTAAAACAGAAGAAGTTGAATGCTCTCTTGCCCAATATATTCCTCATCTCTCTTCCTATTCTTAATTTGTTTTATGTTATGGTTGTTATACATACCAATACATTCTAGATAATATTAATTGTATTATATTATACTTTTGTCTTTTTTGTTGTTCTTGTTATTGATGTTTATCTAATATATTTTCATCTTTATATATATATATATATATATATATATATATATATATATATATATATATATATATATATATATATATATATATTTTATCTTTTTGAGAACTGAGGAGATCATGGCCCCCAAAATTTTATATCAATGTAATTTATAAGTTTGGTTCCCCAAAACTTAATGAACATTTAATATATTTACTTGGATATTTACAATTTTATCATCTCAGTCTCTCCTTAGTTTTGTAACTCTCATATAATTTATGATTTTGTCCTCCTCAAACTTAATGATCATTTAATATATTTAAGTATATATCTACAATTTTATCCTTTCACTCTTTCATCTTCTTTTTTCCTTTTAAATTTATTTATTATTTATTAATAATATATTATTTATCCCCCAAAATCAATGGTAAGATCTGTCATTATATATATATATATATATATATATATATATATATATATATATATATATATATATATATATGTCTCCATTGGAATAATTAGATACAACAAATTTTATCATGTTTGTCTTTCCCGTTCTTATTTTTTTCTCCTTTATGATATCAAAGCTCTCACCTGGAGCTTTGCGATACCCTTTTACTATTACCATGGCAGAAATATATGAATCACATGTTTCTGACCCACTTCCTTTTAATGATTTCAGCCAATATTCATCTAGTTCCTTTTACATACATCCTAATAAGAATTCTTCGTGTGTCTTAGTCTCACATATCCTTTCCAGTGGTAATTACCACTCTTGGCCTCATTCATTTCACATGGCTCTCACCTCTAAAAACAAAATTGAATTTCTCATTGGTACTATTTCCATCCCAATTGTTCATGATCCTACATATCCTTTATGGGAGCGTTGCAACACCTTGATAATGTCATGGCTTATTAATTTTTTTTCTCCTTCAATTGCACAAAGCATTATCTATTTGGATCGTGCAATTAATATTTGGAACAATTTATGAGAATGGTTTTCTAAAAGTAATCTCTTATGTATTGCAGAGCTCTAGGAGGAGTTTTATGCCCTCGAACAAGGTTCTCTCACTATAACAGACTTATTTACTACTTTGAAGGCCTCTTGGGAAGAACTTGACAATTTCAGTCCTCTCACACCATGTAATTGCCAAGCACATCTTTATCATCAACATAATTTTATCATCTGGTTTCTCAAGGGTCTTGATGATAGATTTTGTGTTGTTTGTTCTCAAATATTGCTTATTGATCATCTACCCTCTATTAATAGGATTTTTCCCATGGTTATTCAGAATGAGCGACAATGATTTATATCATTTTTCTCTTTAATTCTTTATCTAAGAGTATTTTCTAAACTAATTATTTTATTCATAAACTATGCATTTAACAATGTTTTCTTTAAAAGCATAACATAATTCAATTTTTTTATTTTTATTGCATTTTACATAATTTTAGCATAATAAATAATATACATGCCTACATTCACATTGCATATTTCTTTTTCTTTTTCTTTTTTTATAGGAAAGGTAATTTGAGATGAACCAAATTGATGGAAAGAAATGTCCAAATTGATGTCGTCAAACTTCACTCTTCTTGGAAGTCTAAGTTTGCTTATGCAACCCACTTGCAGAATGTTACAAATGGAAATTTTGAATCAAGAAAATTAACTGGTGCGAGAATCCAATTTAGTTGAATTAAAAGTCAGCGAGAATCAATAATTAAATGCAAATCAGTGCAAGATCACTCAAAATAAGAAAGAAGCATATTATTTTCTCCAAATCAGTCCTAGAAAATTCTCTTAGTAATTCAATTTTGTAATTATTTATTTGAGAAATATTTGATTTTATTGTAATTAATTTTAGGCTTAATTTCTGTTATGTAATCCCCTATAAATAAAGGTCTTACAATAATAAATTATCATAATCTCCTAGCCCTGGGGTGAGAACTGTTATTTTGTCTCGTCCCCATTTTCTTTTCCTATTCTAAGTTCTTAATTTAGTTAGCCAAGTTCATCTACTCGTTACTCGGTTTGTTCTTTTTTATTTAATTTGCAATTTCTATTGAATTTTTCAATTTATATGGTTCTATTTATTTTATTTATTTAGTGCTCGTTTTAATTTTTGTTATTTAATTGTTTAAAATTTTTATTCTAGCCCTACTTAATTTTCATTTTCAATTCATCTCTTTTCCAATTCCAATTTTCAATTTAGTTTTAGATTTATCGCTTCCAAAAATTTTAAATTTAATTACTATGCTATTTTATTTTAAAGTAATTTTTTATTCTTGCACTTTTAATTAAAAACACTTTATTTTAATTTTATAAATTTTAGTTATTTAAATTTTGCTTCCATTTAATGTTAATTATCGTTAATATTCTATAGTGATTTGATTTTAATTTTTATTATTCTCGCATCAGCTTTATTTCTTTTTCACTATTTCATTCATACTTTATTTACTCGTTATTTATTATTTTAGAGAAAATTATATGTGGTAATGAGTATGTTCATATAATTGTGTTCTTGTGAGATTCAACATGGATTAGTTATACTCGCATTAGTTTAGCAACTTGTTTATTATTTTTTTTATCATTATTTTGTGCTTTCAAAATGTTGTTATCAAATGGCGCCATTGTCGGGGACACAATTGTGTTAACATTGTCTAATATCATTTTTTTTAGCTTTATTTTTAAAAAATTCAAAAACATTAAAAAAAATTATTATAAATTGTTTTTATGTGCTCCCTAACCATTCTTGCAGGAAATTCTCGATAATAAATCTTGTAGGAAATTCTCGATAATCACTATTGTAGGAAATTCTGGATATAGTTTGGTAGTGTGAGACTACATGTCTAGAAAAGTTCTGACTAGGAAAGACTTGGTACTTAAGCATGTCCATTAGTGACTCACCTCTATTTCTTGAGAACTTACCTGGGATACTTGTTCACAGTCTACTATTTGTATTTCAGTAGGACTTTTAATAGTGCATGACCCGATTAATGAAAGGTGAGCCACATATATTCGATCCTGAAATCGAAGTTACATTCAAGAGATTGAGGTGATTAAAGAGGTGGAGGGAGCTACAAAAGAGAAAGAGCGAAGCAGCTGAAAAGTCTAATCAAACATCTCAAATGAATACTAATCGAGAAAGAACCTTGAAAGAGCTTGCCACAGAAGATATATCTCACTAACCGATCTGTATTAAACTTCCTCAACTACAAGAAGGAGTTGTTGGATTTGAACAAAAGTCTGGGCTGATTTAGATCTTACCCAAATTCTATTGATTACTGGGCAAAGATACCAACAAGCATTTGAGGGAGTTCCATGTAGTATGCTCCACAATGATGCCAATGGGTGTTGCAGAAGACTGTGTCAAGCTGAAAGCCTTTCCATTCTCATTGTGTGACTCAGCAAAAGATTGGTTATACTTTCAATTGACACCAATCACAACTTGGTTAGACTTGAAGAGAAGATTCTTGGAGAAATTCATTTCAGTTTCAAGGACCGCTGCCTTTAGGAAGAAAATTAGTGGGATTCGAGAACTACAAGAGGATTCTCTTTATGAATATTGAGATAGGTTCACCAGACTATGTTCCACTTGCCCAAACCATCAAATAAATGAGCAGTTATTGATCTAGTACTTCTATGAAGGACTGATGCCTATGGAAAGGAACATATGCAGCAAGTGGTGGCGCATTAATGGATAAGACAACTGAATTCGCACGGGTCTTGATTTCCAACATGGCAAAGAATTCTTAATAATTTAGTGCTCAAACATCTGTTAGATCGGTCAATGCAATACAACAGAACCCAACAACAAACATCAATAAACAGAGTTTGAAGAACCAAATATGGTTCGAGCTGACATCTTTGGTTTGACAGTTGGTCATGAACCAACACACATTTGAACAATAATATTTATGTGGGATATGCACCTACGTATATCATCTCACTGATGCATGCCCTAAACTTCAGGAGACACCTAGGGAAACACTATGTAACATGGTAACTCTAAGCCTACACTAGAAGATCTGATGAAACAACTCACATAATAATGATAACGCAGAGTAGAAGCACACAACTAGAGCAACGCGTCAATGACTTGCAAACTCAAATTGGGTAAATGACCACTACCATAAATTCACTACAGCAGCAAGGTGCAAATGCACTTCCCTTACAAATAGTGATCAATCT